AGTGTTTTTTCTGTCCAGAAAGCTGTCAAGCTTGTCTGAGGCTGAAGGCTTCCATTCAGATCAAATCAGAAAGAAAGATGTGATCTTAGTCAGGAAGAGGAAATGGGCCATCAAAACTTGAGGAGAGTAGCTTTTTCCAAATCTAAAAATATTAACATGATGTGTTTACTGACTAACTCTCTCCCATTTCTTCCCTTATGTAGCATATCAGCCAACCCAGCAGTATTCTTTTGGAACAGGGGGACCAGCTCTTTATCAGCCCCAACAGCCTGCAGTGCCTCCTGCTTCAACTTCATACCCTAACCCTTCTCCTAACCCTCTTTACATGCCTTCTGCTTCTCCACATTCCATACCCTCTCCATTATACCCAGCACAGCCTCAGCCCTCTCCAACAAGCTTGAATCCTGGTGCTTCTTTCCCTCTTCCTTCAACTGGTGCATCCTTCCAGCATGGCAGGCCAGGAGCTCCAGCAACTTCTGTGGCTTATGCATTGCCTACTGGACCAACAGGTACTCTGCCTGCCACCAGTGAACTTCCTGCATCCCAAAGAACAGGTCTGCGCTTGAAAGGGGGGGGACTGTTTTGCTTTTGTGTGGGTTATGATGTTTGTTTGTTTGTTTGCCTAGTGAATGATGAACTAATTAGTATAAAATATTACAGTGCTGTAGTATTAATGAACTGTGTTTCTAAAAATGGCATTATCTTTTTGGGCATCCTCCAGTGGGAAAGCCTTGTCTGCTACAGTTTGGAAGTACTATAGTTGCAGCTTGCGAACTCAGGTGTTCTGGAAGTTGCACCATGCTACTGAAAGAGGGAACTCTTCTTTAACACCAATCAGCAAAACAGTGTTGGGACTGCAGTAATATACCTCTGAGACCAGCATGGTATGACTGGTGAACCAGTATATAAATTTAAGCAAATTGTGAAGCTGTAGCATGCCCATTGAGCCAAATGCTTCTCTTGTGTCCCAATTTAACCAGTGTAATCCCTCAGTAATATTATTCCTGATCTACAGTGCTTACATATGAAAGGCTATATGAAAACAAGAAAGGAAGGATATGAAAATATTCTTTCATATCCTGATCAACAACAGAAAAATGTGGAGAAGGCAGATTTAAACCACCAACCGACCCTGCAAAAGGTTAAAGCTGCAGAAGAGGAAGATTATGAAAGGAAGAGCAAGTGTCATGTTTGGAGCTAATTTAATTTAAGAAACCTTTTCTCTTGAGCACCCTCTCAGTCATTGGCTCTGTTTTCCTAATCATCAAGTGTGATGGGATTTAGTGTACTTTACCAATGCCCAAAATGATAATCCTCAGCAGTTTAGAAACACTTGAAAGAAGTATGTTTTCTGTAAGCTGAGAAACAGCATGTGAATGATGCTAGAATGCATGAGCATTTCTCTGTGTGTGCATGGTAACAAAATGTATCAAGGTAGCAGGGAACAAAATAACACAAGAAGAAAGGTTAAGCATTCATGATTGGTTTTTTCAGTTTATGCTGCTTTTGTGATTTATTGCTTGGTGACTTGTCTCTATAAAGTGTGTAGTAGAGACCATGGCACTGGTTGAGCAAACATCCTAGTGTCATGGTTAACAGGCCTCAAAGGCCTCACCATGGCACTCTTTCTCACTGCGTTCCTAGTGGAGACAATGCATTATGCAGGGCATTATTAATGGGATATAGAGCCCTCCAGGTTGCCATGTGGAATCCAGCCCAGGTTAGGAGTGACTGAAAGGCCAGTGCTTTTTAGTGATTGATGTGAAATGCATTTGGTCTCGGTTCAGTTCTTAGTGTGCCGTCTACATGCATGCACAGTAAACCCTACTTGGCACCAATCGGTTACATTGTCCCTTGGTGGAGAAGTCATGGATGAAGGGGCTGGAGACTGAACTGTTTTTTGACATCCCCTTCCCCCTGCAGTCTGTAGGGTTAGGAAAGAGGTGTCCTTGACCCAAGGGCATGGTGTGGCTCCAGGAATGTGGATGAGACAGCGTGGGCTAAGCTTGTTTTGCCACTGTTCTGATGACACCTGTTACTTGAATAAACAGGCTTTTGAATGCAAGCCTCTCATTAGAATTACATTCACACACACACACACATTGTAGGATGAAGACATCCAATCTGTCACAGGAAGAGGGGTCAGTTTTGGGACCTGTCAGGGCCTCAGCAGCACTGTAGGGAAAAGTATTTGTAGATGGTATGTCCTAGGGCAGTGATTTTCAACTGTGGTACCATGAGGCTCCCTCAAGGGTGCCCTATGCATTTCTCCATTAGGGCTCTAATTAGTTGTGTAGCTGTTCACAGTCCAGCATCCCCTACACTCCATCTGGACACAGGTGTAGGTTAAAAATCTCCAATCTTTTTTTTGCAGGAAAAGGGCAGGGATGACTGGGAAGGGCTGTGCATCCCAAGGCAGCCTTTCTGCCTGCTTTCAGCAGATACTGGAGCCCTAATACAGGAAGAGTATGTTCATGGGACAGATTTTCCTATGCTGGCTGTGCAGCAGGCCTAGGGCAGTTCCAGCTGGGAAGCCCTGAGGTAAGCTGCATCAGCAGCCATAGTGGTTTTCAGCCAGGAGTGCTGACATGTTCAGAAGTGGTGGAGGGAAGCGCTAGCTTTGAAAAGGTTGAGAACCAGTATCATAGGGAGACTCTGGATATCTATCGCCTGTATTCTGTATCTGGGCTGGGTGTCTTTTCCCTGGCCTGTTAGGATAAGGCATCCTTTGCATGTGGGACTGGTGGTGTACAATTTATTTTTTTTTGTGTGAGGAGGAAATGATAGTGAAGTGGATAGAGTAGGAGCTTTTGCTGAGTTTCCTAGCCCTGCAGAAGTATAGCAGCATGGTATAAGACAGAAAGCATGGTCACTGTACTTTCAGATAAATGCAGGGAACAGGAAACTGCTTTAACAGGATTTTTCCCCTCTAATGTACTTTATATGGGGTCCCATTATATTTGGGGCATAATAATGCACTTAAGAGATTTTTCACCTGTTAAGTTTCTTGTGTTAAAGGTTTCAGTGATCTGTTCTGTATAGGGCTTTCAGAATTGGGCTAAGGTCTCCCAGCTGTGCGCAGTTGAAGTTTTGGATGTGAATGGCAAGAGAAGTCTTGTAGGTTGGTTTCTGGGAGCCATATACATTTTTCCTGGGTCGGTTAGATGAATTATTTTGAATTCAAACAGCAGATACTCAAGGAGCTTATCTATGGGTCCCAGCTTAAATGAGTGACTGATTGATTGATAAATTAATCATTTGGTTAGTTTTTCTTCTTGTTTGCAGTGCATATCTTAGTCCAGTGAAATGTTGGTGCTAGAACATAAATCTATAAAAACCAGGGTTATTATCAAATATGCTTACTAAACTTCAGGATTATCTTCAGATGAACCATAGTAAATCCCCTTCTTCCTTTAAAATAGTATAACTGTTTTTCTGTCCATGGCTACAAGAAACCAGGATTCATCAACAATTATTAGGAGCAACTTGAAATTATGATCTGCTCCATGGGAAAGAATGCAGCCTGGTTTTCTGGGAGGGTAGAGGAGACGTGATTGTGCACATCTGATCGGACAACGTATACCACAAATTAATGCTAGACTTAAACTGGTTTCTTAATTAGATTAGGCACTTCTCAGGTGACACAACCCTCAACTTCTTACAAATACAGGTCAGGTCCTATTAATTTTTTTTTAAATATCTCAGTCATTTTTGTATTTTATCTGCAGAAAATCAGTTTACTCAAGACCAGGCCTCTATCCTGCAAGGTGAACTAGCTACAGCATAACATTGAAATCATTAAGCCACAGCATCAAATTAACTGAATGATCATTAGTAATACATGCAAGCCTCAGCATATAGACACAATCAGTGCTATAATGATCAATACATTTTTAATCAAAGCAAGTTTTATAATATCTTAATTAAAAGGTAACAGTACAAATGGAATTTTTAACCACAGAAGTAAATCGGTACTTTTTTTACTGCACTCTTTTATAAAATGATTGACAGTCGTCATAATGTTGTTTAAAAAAATAATTTCCATAGTATACAGGCCAAACCTTTTGGAAACTAGTCTTCAAGATAGGCAGCAGAACAAAGACCTTGGATATCTTGTCATCAAGGGATAGGACTGACCTGTAGTTAGTAAAAACTCAGCTAAAAGAGATTTTTAATTGTTTAATCTGGCCCTTCAGTGTCGGTGGCTGTGAAATTAAAAGCTTAAATGCTTGATAAATTTGAAGACAAGTTAATTCTATCCTAAAATAATCCAGTCTGTTACATGAAGATGGATTTGGCATGTGCTAATTGAAAAACTGTGGTGAAAAAGTCCATTGAATTTTTCTTTTGGCCTTTTTTTGGTGGCTTTCTGCAATCAATTCTAATTACTTCAGTTAGGATGCATTAATGTTGCATTCTAATACACTCTTCCCAATTAAACAGGAATCATGAAAAGATGGGAACAGTTCCTAATTCATGTCAGCTTTGTACTGCAAATTTTGTGGACGCGTAGGAAGTGCTTTTTTTAAATGAGTTTCAGATTTCTTATGGAAAAATACTAAATAACATGATTTAAAGATGATTTTGTGCAGATACCTTCTATATTTCTGTTCCTTCATTGTGGCTATAGAAGATACCAGATTCACTAGTCTGCTCCTGCAGACTGTAGCTTTACCCTACTTTCAGGACCCACTCCGTTCTTAATTCTGACTTAATGAGCCGGGTACCCCTGGCTGACAGCCACCTTGTATCTCCAGAGTGTACAGGTACACCTGGCCTAGGATTTTTAAGATTCCTCTTGCTGTTAGAAGTATCCTTTCTGTTGTTGTTTAGGACTACATCTTATGGCCATTTAATTCTCTCTTGCAATAATCATTGAGGGTAGCAAGATTCAAAAAACATTTTCAGCAGAATTTTATTAACTTTTGTTCCCCAGAGTTTTTTGAGATACCAGCTGCTGATTTACTTTTATGGTAACATTAATAGGACTCTAATTACATTCTGATTTGTTCTGCTGGAAAACGGACAGAAATGAAACCTTCATAAAATTGCTGAGACCATGTTAACCTGCGTTGCTTGCATGGCAGGGTTGCAAAAGTGTAACTACACTTTTTGCCACATTAAGCAGTTGCCACCATTTGTAGAGGGTTTGCATATGTAAAATCACTCTCCTAGAAAATGGGAGAATGCTAAATAGTTTTTTATGTTGAATCCTAGAAACATTATTTAATGGGGTCAGAAGATTTATACTGTGTAGGAGGAGGAGAGGTGACTGCTCACCCAAGATGATAAGGTCTTTGCAGCTTAGTTGTTAAACAGAAAAATCACCTAACCTACCTAAGGTACTCAGAACATAAGGACTTTCACTATAATGAATTTCAAGACTTTCTGGATAGTGCAGGGAATATGTGATTTTACTATAATGGATTTTAATGGTGTATAAATGGAGAAGCCCAGTTTTAGTTAGGTGGTCCCCAACTGCCAGTTTTACAGTTATGGAAGAGACCCAGTTCAATGTGAGAGATGCACATATTGCTGAGGCAATGAGTTTAGAGGAGTAGTGCAGAAAGTGGACCTCTGGCCCAACTTCTGGGACCCTAGCAAACAGTTAATGTGAGATTTCTTTTCTTGTTGTTGATCTTCCAGGACCTCAAAATGGTTGGAATGATCCTCCTGCATTGAACAGAGTTGCAAAGAAAAAGAAGGTACTGTAAGAGATGGGTATATCACTAGGTAGGACTGGGATGGGCTGCTCCACTGGACAAGACAGGAAGGAACTACCTGGATCAAGTCCAGTCCCTACTAAATTGCTTGCAATGCAGTCAAATAGTAGTATTAACTAAAAGTTACAAAAAACCATTGTTGGAAGAAGGAAAAGGAAGCGTTACTGCCCAACACCAATTTAATAGTACCATGAATAACTCTTGCCTTTCATTCAGGGAAGATATAACTGTTCACCATACATTGTTTCCTAAAATATGTATGTATCCAAAAGCAATTAAATTTTTGGGGAAGCCATCATGACAACAATACCTTAGGCTGTTTTTGTCTATGGAAAAGCTGCTGAGTTGTGCGTGAGATTTTACCTACAACTAGATCCAGAACTGATGTAAATTCTCAGACCTCCAATGACCTCACATGCAGTATAACTACACAAATTGAGGATATGGCCCCCAGGATCTAGTAAAGATAAGACAAGCATTGTGATGGAGAGCATGACGTCAACTTCACTTTTTATAAAAGAACAAGGGTGGGGAATTGCAGCATGATCAGCACAGGGGACAGAAAGTCAATGCTAATAGGCTAGAAAGACTCTTTCAGGCCACTGGCTCAGGCTGAACTTTTATCTGCCAGCAGTCATAGTAGCCCAGGTGAAATTAGGTAGTTGTGATCAATTTTCATGCACAAGTGCCTTTAGCACAAAACCTGTGAGAATCTTTACCATTATGGCATTTTCAGTGGCTAAGGTTTGGAGTGTTCATGGAGGCAAAGCAACAGTAACTTGTACCTCTGCCATGTAGTCTTTCCAGTTCAGGATTTGTAAACTTTGCCAAAATGGAGTGGGGAAATTTTCACCGCTCCTCTGTGTGCTGAGCCTGCTTCTGAGTTTTAGAACCCAAAAATGTAGGATCTTTTGCATAGGGCTAAGGTTCACAGATAGAAAGGGAGAACGTACCAGTCTACATTATTTCCTGCTGCTAAAAGATGATGCAGTAATAAACACTGATTAGGAAACATTTTTTTAACTTGGATTGGTCTTGTTCTTGTGGTAGGCTTTTGTCATCACCATAACTGCTGTAATAGAAACTGATTTTTAAGGATTTTTTTTTTAAAGTAAGGAGTCACTTTGTCCCCTGTGCCCTATTTTCTGCTGAACAAGACTCCATCAAGAACACCTATGCATTGGTCCTGCACATACTCAGTGTAGTCCAGTGTTGGGTTTTAACAAGTTTTGAACTATTTGGTTAAATATTAGTAAATGGTTTTACAAGAATCTTTAATCTTTTAAAGAACAAAGAGAGCCAATTTTTGCATTGCCTCCTGGAGCCCGAGGTATAACTTTTCAATCATTATCCCATGACTAATGACTCAGTGTTTTGTTTGTTAAGAATTGAGTGCTGTGACATACTTAACTATAAATACAGCTTTTGCTTTTATTCAATTATCATCAAAACATGTCTCCTCCCACAACAGTCAACACTCAACATCTTGGATACTTCCATTGTTCCCTCTCAAGGCAAAAAAGCACCAACGTTCTCTTTAGGGTTGGTGTTCTATAGTTGTAGCAAAGATCAGCATCCCATTTAGTCACTGTTCTTTCCTCTATTAAACAATGTCTCTTAACATCTAGGGCCACAAAGAATTAGGCACTATTTCAAAAACATGCTAATAATTTGATGTAATAGAAATATTTTTGTCAGAGGCTTGAATCTCATTTGAATGGTTCGTTGTTTGCATGGCACTCTCCATGGCCTAAGCCAGCGATCAGCAACCTTTTTACAGTAGTCAGCCACAATGACCTGGCTCAGGTCTGGGGCAGGCCAGTGTAAGGTCTTGGCCACCACCACTACTTCCTGCCACTTGGCCACAGCATGGGTGAAGCATTGGAGCCACAAACTGAATGCAGCCCACAGACCATAGGTTGCAAACTATTGGCCTGTGCACTTATAGCGAGCAATGTA